TCATAACTTGATTTCATGACTGAAACAAAGACTGTGACTAAGACTAAGACAATGATGCATAAATAGGCCCTTATATAGTTTCTATCGTCCGAATACGTTCGTATACGCGCGAAATTCAATATTTTTGATTTCAAAATATATACGGGTATTGTTATTATTGTTATTTCAAACATAGAGAGTCAGTCTATTGTATGTACATGGTGTTTCAGAGTGCTGGCTAAAATTGAATTGTTCATGTTACTTGATTATTTGGGATTTCTTCTCCTCGCTCCTATAAAATGAAAATATGAATATCATTTGAATAAATGTGTGATTGGACTGCGTTCAACAAATTTTTCAATCAGAAAGCCCAGAAGAAAGATTCAATAGCTTGTCAGTGACACTTCGTTTGGAGAAAAGTTTGTAGAGGAGAAATATTGAATAAATATCGAATTTTTACTTAGCTTTGAACGTTTCGGGAACGAATCTGCTCCTGCTCTCAACATAAAACGCAATGACATTAGTGATTCACACGAGACCAACGAGACGAGACTTTCATAAAGTCTCGTCTCGTCTCGCCGATGAAATATGAAGTCTTGTCTCGAGTCTTGTCTCGCATCCTTGAGTCTCGTCTTGTCTCGCGTCTCGTACGAGAGTCTCGCAAAGGTATCGCAATTTCGTCATGCATAATCTTGTTCCAGTCTAGTACGGGCTATTTACCTTTACCTACTTTTTAGGTATAATGTAGAAATAGGACGAGAAAATTACAACAAAAATAACATTATTTATCGAAAAGTAAGTACCTAATAGGTACATACTCACATCATATATCTGAACAAGAAAAAAAAAAACATAGCATTATATATTCGAAAGTTATAAATTTGAAATAAGAAGTAACACGTATATTCTAAACATATAAACAAATCAAAAACTCTAATCCAACATTATTTTACTTGAGAGGGTTAGGTAACACAACATCATCTCCACAACGTTTAATATTCGAAAGATTATTTAGGGAAACATGTTTCGGACAGTCATGTGTCCATCATCAGCCTCAATCCTCACAAACCAAAGTTCCTATAATATGATACAAGTTAATCATGAAAAATGTATGGAATAGAGAATTTACTCACGTGGGAATGAAAAAACACAAATTATGAAAAAAACATTGAATAACATTATTGTTCAAATAAGCACCGGTAAAAGGTCAGGTTAATTTTGAAGGAGCCCTGTGCCCCTATCATTTTACTATAATTTGAGAAATGAGTAAGTATCTAAGAAAAAAACCTTTATCAGTGACAGTCAGATCAGCCTTCACGATCGCAAATGTTTTTTTTTTTCGCCCAGTCGTTAAGACATAACAAACATCGTGCAGATTCAATATTGAGGCCATTTCGATGTTTCCTCGTGAGAATAATCTTTCCGCCGGGACTGAAGTAGCCGGTATGCTTAAGTATTTATGAATGAAATATTTTGTCTTTCTGTGCTGAATAGTCAGAATTCTTTCTAAATATGTTGAATTATGAATGAAATTCTCAAACCTGCAGTCGGCACGCAGAAATATTTACCTGCGAGACTCTCGCACGAGACACGAGAAGTCTTGCACAAGACTCGAGACGAGACCAATAAAAGTCTCGTCTCGTCTTGTCCGAGTCTCGTCTTGAGTCTTGTCTCGAAAACAAGACGAGACCATGCGAGACTCTCGAAAACGAGACTCTCGCGGGCACCACTAAATGACATTCTGGGGCAAATCATCTAATTTGTGCTATTACACATAAATTGGAATGATACTCATATTTTTATTTTGGGGAAACGAGGAGGGAACAATCAATTGAAATGAATGTTTCACCTCCTCGATCAAACTACGAGCAGTATTTGAATTATTCATTGGTAGGTATAGTATTGACATGGTGTCGCGCATCTGTCAAGTTCTCCAGAACTTTCGATACCGTGAAATATTTTGTGAATTGTCTTTCTAGTTTGCATCATGTGACAAATAACATGAATTATTACATCACATGCTATATACGGTGGATGTCCTCAACAATTCACCGAGTGTCACAGTCCGCGAAAATATCTAGTTCCTGATATACAATTTAAAATTTTTCATTTTGCATGAACGTGATAATAGGCAGTTTATTTCGTGAAACCCATAAATCAGCCTCATTTTAGTGATATTCTGTCAAACTCACAATTTTGCACTTATATATATTTCGACACGCAACACAACATATGTGTCGCTGTCAGTTGGAAGAATAAATCAAACTTACTTATTTTAAATTATATGTCTGGATGAAGAAGGATAAAAGCAAAAATTCAATAGGTTTCATACAACATTGCGTCATTTATATAGAATAGAGTCTAAACCCACTACGAATGACTTTCTTCACGCCGGAAGTAAACGATTCGCTAGCAAATGACGTCGAAATATATACGGAAAACGCTTTGCACGACTTTATCATTGCCAATAATATTCGTGTAGGCACCATATGAGCTATTTTGTATAGGGGAATTTATGTCGTTTGTCAAATGGTTAATGACTTGTGAATTTGGATTTTGTTTGCTGAACTGGGTGTGTGGACTGCCAACTACTTGTCAGTTTTTCAGTGAAAAATTGATTGGGGCATTTAATCGTTTTTGCATGTTCAATTGGTATTATTTATCGAAATCTTGAGAAACTTAGAGGAACAAATGATGATTTGTGTTCGAAAATAACACTTAACATCAGTATGAGATCAAATACACTTTTCCGAAAAGCAAGCAAGAAATCAATCTCAAGAATTATTTTACTTTTTTTATGTTGCATGGAAATGGGTGAAAAATTTGAGTCGTTTATACGAAATAATAAATGAAGTGAACCTACTTTTTTTTGGAAAAATTCAAAATAGACTGCTGCTGATTTCATTCGATCAGGTATTGTTGGAAATTCTTGATTTTATTTCACGCACGTTCAGTGAATGGAGTTTTGTTATCAAATCATCGTGAGTGACGCATGTTCTGCGGCAGAGATTCTACTTAGTTGATATTTTCTTCGTGAATAATGAGATATAAGGTGATTCATTTGGTCAATGTTTTGGAATGAGTGTGAAACTGTTATCATGATATTTTCTACCAATTTTTGCTAGAACATGTGGAAAACAATACATACGTTCCGGTTCCCGAAAAGTCTAAGAATAAGTGAAATATCATATTTTATCAGTACACCTATATTCTCCTTTTCCAAACTTTTCTCAAGAAAGGCATATCACTAACATCGACTGAATTTTCTACTAAGGTTTCTGATAGTTGAATTTCAAGCGCAGTGACATTGTGAGGCAACTTATCTGATCTGTCCTCACAGGTATAGTTTATACAAAGTCAGTTGGAAAAAGACATTACCGCGAGCCGTCGGTCCCTTTGAAAGTTCAAAGAGTGCGGCAGCGCGGCCCGACATTCGTTTGATGATCTGTTCAACTGACTTTGCATAAACTATACAATGAACTTATTCAAATATCTTTATTTATATGGAGGAGAGTAGAGAAACATCCAAATAATATGGAGAAATGATTACCTCACATCTCCGAAAATTCTACAGACAATATTCTAATTGTGGGAATCTGCATCATCCTCCAGAATCCAAAACGAATATATAGACAATAGTTTTGGAATCACATTTCAGACAGGTATAGTTTCGATACTGAAATGGATTATTTGATTCTCAATTTGACACGGTATTTTAACACTGCGCAGATCATGTGCAGTATGTGCTGAATGATCAATTATTGGTCTCCGTGAGATGTTGAAACCGTTATAGTTACGGTTCTTAGAGTATTGTTATTAATTCTTGTCATGAGTATTTTTGCAAATGAAATGACTCGGACATAGGAAAACAATTCTTTTCAAAACTATTCAAGTAATGAAAAAATGAATACACTGGGCATTAATATAGAACTATGTTACTATAATGTTTATGTGAGTATACATAATATGTTGGAATGTGTTTGAATTGTAATATACATCCATACACTATTTCCCAATGTGATTTTATCACTGATGGTAATATATTTCATGAATGACGGTTTCGTGGTTACGGTTCCTTCATTATACAATATTCACCAAGGCATTAATAGTCACAGCTGACCGTGTGATTAGCAATTGAAATATGGTTTGAAAATGACAACCAGTTCCTATGCAAATTAATGATATTGTAATTATTATTTGTGACGCTACCTATATATCAATACAGTGAATGACCTAGGTAATTATGACATAGTTGCAAATGCGATATAATAAAACCCATTAGGTATGAGACGAGTATGAAGTTAAAATGTATGGACATTTCTCATGTTTTATTTATGACTGAGTATTTTATTTGAGGTATGAAATTTCTTTTTTGTAGTTGATTTTCATTTCTTGATTTTTTTATAACAACAACAGAAGATTCAAGATGCTGGTGCTATGTGCTTTTTAATATTCGATGATATGGATCATAATGGATGCAATTTTGTTTTCAGCAAGAGACAACCTAGGTGAAGTGTATCTGAATTGACCAATCAAGTATTCAGTTGTTCTGTTACGTTGAAATGAATATAACTGTTACTTTAGATCACAATTTGAGTTGACACCTCTTGAACATATACTAGCTTCAACCCAAATTTGGAGTGAATCCTGTTTCAACAGAGTCATCTATTTTTTATTGTGATTGTGTCTAAAATCACATACTTGCTATAGTAATCTAATGTAACTTTCTCAATATTGCCATATTCAGATTTATACATTGTTATTATAAGATATGAATAAATAGAAGTGGTGTTCTCGTAGGCTGAAATATCTGATGGTGTGTTTTGTTTAGTAGATTTTTGTTTCAATTCAGATAGCAAAATGATTTTGATGATAAACATAATTGATTAGGGAATAATTAAAATCGATACCTATATCTATATAGTGTTTCTCAATGACAAATTGTTGATGCATCTGTGAATTTTTGCCGTATTGGCGATGCACCATCAACTCAGATTTCTGATATATATTTTTTTTTTCAGGTCAAAGTTTGGTTCCAGAATCGACGAACAAAACACAAGCGGATGCAGCAAGAAGAAGAAGCCAAGACAAATTCCGGTAATAAGTCCGGATCGCCCAGTAGTGCACAAAATCACCATATGAGCAAATGGAAAGAAGAAACAGCGGACGATTATGGAGAGTATATCGATATGGACATGGAAGATGAATGTGTTAGTGATGTAGAAAGTGAATCATAGACTCGGTCAGAAGAATCTCCTGTAAATACTTTAAATTCCAGTCGACAGTATAAGTAGTGAAATATGGCAAATGAAATGAAAACCCACCTATACTTATCAACTATCGAAACCCTGGTAGGTAGATGAAATGCAAAAAATAATGGAAGTTTTTCAAATGACACTCCGTAAGAGACATTCAATAACTCACTAGATATTGGACTAAATCCAATGCAGTTATTCACTTGATATCAATGAGGAATAATTTAGCAAAAACTGAAGATTTGATACGTGGCTAATGAACGGAAGCTCTTTATATATTTAATGAACACAAATCTCAAGATAATTTTTTTTTCTGCGAATTGATTGGGAAAGAACATGGAGTATGTTTAAGTGCTGAAGCTATATTCAGGATATTATTCGAACAATGTAGGTCTCGTCATTTCATCAGGCATTTGATGAGTACCTCAAAATTCCGTGAATAATTCATTCCATATTTTCGGACTTTTCAATAGTAGAAGTGTCATTGCAGTCAATAGGTACATTATATTCGAATTCCCAAACATTCAAGTGGATACGGCACCGTCATTTGTGTAGCCGCGCTAGTAAAATGTTGCTTCAGCTTCGTGTGAACATGGTGGTTTATCAATAACGACAGCAAAATGGTGTAATTAATTAGTTGGAATTTTTCCGAGGTGAAGTGAAAAATTCAAAATTGGCATACAATGGTTATTCATTGAATTCACGGATAAATAATAATCTGAATATAGCAAAATGTTCCTATATTTCCATGCAGTTTCGAATGTTTATTGGAATTTCACATATCTACTATATAAAGAGGCAATTGCTATTGAATATTTTCAATATTCCCGATACCTATTTTTGTGACACGTACGGAAATCTCCTGAAACTTTCTCACTTCAAAATAAGTAGTATGGCCATTCCGAAGTCAATTGCAACAGCTTCAGCAAGAAGGAATCTCAAAGTCTTAGTCTATAAAAAATAAGTGATTTCTCTGAGTATTTGAGATTTTATCTTCCTGTTTCCATGAAAAGGAATTGTTATTTATACACCAAGTTGTATATTGAAATTTTCTCGTCACAAGTGACATATTTTGATTTCTATGGTTTCGTGGAACTGATCCCAATGACATCATATGTCAAGTCGTTTCATCATTGATGAATACCTACCATATATAGATTCGCAATACATACTTGCGAACCTCGGGTCAGAACAGTGAATTCTGGTTGATTATAAGCTAAGTCTTTACTCAGGTACTAGTAGGTACTAGTAGTTCATACAAAGCCTTGAAAAGGAGTATATAATGGTAGGTTGTATGGCTAATGGTGGAAAAAAAGTACTCATAGTAAGAAAAGATTATATTATATAACACTTCAAAATGACACTGAGTTCAGTCAATCGATAGTTAGTTACACCTTGCTTCGAAAATATTTGAGGAATCTGCTCCGATTTTCAACATGAAAATGGAAAATGATTTATTTCACCACTAACTATACTAGTCAATAAAGACATAGCAACCTCTGATATAATTAACCCGAATTCTCTGCTCTAATGCAAGATTCGCTGGAATGGCATTGGAATCTAGAAGGTATTCATCAAGAACGACTTGTCATATGCTGTCATGTTCATGGCTACTAGATTTCAACCAAAATTGGAAAGAAACTCATTCAAAGTGACAATAGGTCTTTATTAAAGTTTCACAGAAATGAAGTGATTGAAATATACTAGTGGTGGAATTGGTAGTCAAGAGTAGCATAACCACGGGACCCTATAACCCTCGGCTGATGTCTCGGAATATAATCTTGGTCCCTGGGTGATACTGATATTCGTTAGAACCTTGGAGTATAAATAACTATTTTATCATAATTGGTCCTTTCGATTTCGTCAATTGATTCAGTTACATGGGTTGACAGAAAAATATTAGTTGAAGAGTGTTTCTACAAATGATTTCGAATTCATCATCACCAACTTCAGATTTTGGGAGTGAATATTATGTTCTATCTGTATCAACCGAACAGTAAGCAATAGCATTAAATTATGTTTTGGAGAATGCAAGATGATATGAGGATATTCCTCCCCCTCGATTAACCTACAAATAGTATCTATGTAATTAGAGCAACAATCAACTACCTACTCGAATGTTACATATAGCAAGTCAGGATGCTTATTAGTCCAACATCTTTTGTGTAATACCCATGTATGATTTCTGCCATATTTCATTGCTTTTGCTGATCTGACATAAGTACAAATGATAAAGGCTTTGTAACCAAACCTATTTGGTAAAACTCGACGCAGTTGCAATAAACTTCTTTGGACATTTGAAGTGCCAATATTCTTGTGCCAAATTTTTGTTTTGTTGGATTTTTTGTATAAAGTATCGTCATTCGAAATGATCAGTGTATATAATTATTTATTGCAGATCTACAAAACTTAATATTTATTATTTTCCTCTATGAATGTACATACTTATTCAGCTATTTTGGATGAATCTGTTCGAATCCAAAGTAGATATGTTAAAATGATAGGAATTTCAAATCGTGAAGTATGATTCATGATGGTAGATTTCCATTGTACCCTTTGTGATGTGTGTTCGACTATTTTAATATATCTACCTAGTGGTCCCTGAAGTAATACACGTGTGTGAGAAAAAGGCAGAGTGTCTGTGTATCTATATATCTGGCTGTTGATATTATTTTCTATCTGTACATTCGAATTACTGGTGAAGTTTTTAGTGCAGGTACTAATCTAGAAAAAAGTACTGAAAACTTCTAAAGAGAATCTGAAAGTCTAGAAAATCTTAACTGTGTTACTACTTCAAACCTTGTATTATATAAAATGAAGTATTCCTAAATTGAGTAGTATTATTTCACTCATCCCAATGAGAGTATCTTCGAATTGATCCATTGCTCCTCTTGATGAACAGCGTGTGTTAGAGAAACACTGATACATCTGTGGAAACACATAATACTATGTGAATCGATAATCAACCAAATAAAGGTATTTTGCCGCAAAGTGGTGATGAACTTCTCCGAAGAGACTTATGCTGACTGTTTTGGACACGAGTTCATTGTGATACACATCCCAATACGCTCTTATCACACATTTCATACAGGGCATTCTTTGAGCACGCTAACGTCGCTAACACGGCCATCCTGAAATTGGGACGCTCTCGGCTAGGCCTGAAAAAAAAAACGATATATCGATAGATATATAGATGTATCGATATATCGAATAACAAAATATAATTTCAAAAATATCGATATATCGATAATCATCGAAAACTATCGATATATCGATAACTTTCGATACCGATAACTATCGAAATATCGATAATTATCGATACCTATTGATATATCGATGTTTCGATATCTATCGAAATAATGATAACTATCGATTACTATCGATATATCGATAACTATCGATTATTCGAAATATTGATATAATGGTATATTGATAACCATCGATATGTCGATATGTGAGGATTATAAGGTTATCGATATATCGATGACAATAAGTTTTTTTTCAACAAACCGATAAAAATAAACTTATTTCCATTGTGTGACACTTAGACGCTTTCGTCGTGATATTCAGACAAAAGTAAAAATGCCGTACAGCAACACAATTTCGCAGAGAATCGTGATTTATCGATGTACATATACATCGATATATATCGATATCTATCGATATGTCGATATTCATAGTATTCATCGATACATCGATACTCACCGATATTTATCGATATATCGATATTTATCGTATTCATCGATATATCGATACTTATCAATATATGGATATTCATCGATATATATCGATATATCGATATTCATCAATATATATCGATATATCAATATTCATTGATGAATCGATATTTATCCATATATCGATATATCCAATATCGCCCAGCCCTATTCTCGGCACAATACAAATTAAATAAGTCAAAAATATACACGAAATACAGAACGCTTCCATTTAACATTCAACGTACAAACAAATTGAAAACTCACTCAACTCGGTGTATGTATGACATACCCCAAATTTGATATTCTTTATTATTTTTCATTTTTCAAATCATGGCGTCGTTATTATCATAATATTCAATCATCATCAATATCACCTATCAAAAACCATTAATCACATTGGCTTCAGGTTTGTGAGAAAATGAATTGAATTTATTGACAAATCCTACTTCCATAGTAAATTTGGAGCATGTTTTGAAGACTACAATGAACTGAAGTAATTTCTCGATAGTCAATGATAAGATGAAAAGTATTTAGGTAGGAAATATCGTGAAATATACGAAACGAAAAACTACGGAGGATCAGAAATCAGCCAATTTCCGGAACCAATATAAAAAAATATAGTTTCTATGAATAATTAGTTTTCATTTGATTCATTTTGCCCAATTCAATTTGTTTATCTTTTTACATCTTGTTGCCTACATCATTTCTCTCCGAATGGTCCTTTACTTCACCTTTCCATCCGATTCAGAGTCGATCCTTCGTCTGATTCGACTTTATCGTGCATTACCTGTTATCTTCGTTTGTATGTTCCATAAATGACTCGATAGTTGATATTACTAACTAACTAAAAAACTTTGATAAAAAACTCCAATACAAAAAAAAATCGTGAAATCAGTATTTTTCCGGCGTGAAACACTTTCAGTTTTGGTGTGGTATAGGGCATGTGATATCCCAAGTGCATTGAATTGACGATACTTATTCCAAAACTGGGGTGATAGATTGCTGAACTGGAGCTACCTGGCGTGAGAGGTGAGAGGACTTCTTCAAAATACATTCTATTTAACAAATTTATTGTTAGTTATATAACATAGTCAAGGAGAGATTGATCGGATGGTGGCCTCCTATATCGTTTGTTGACACAAGTATCATCCTAGCCTAATCGGCACCTAACTCAACTCTTCAATTATTTTCCTTGAGAATCATTGATAACATTTCGTAAATTTAACTTGATGACACTCATCATTTCGAGGAACAATGTCATTTTGATAGTTCAACAAACCGCGACACATGTCCCTCGTAATTATTGAACCGGGCAATATCTAACACGACCAGACAAACAAAATTTGGCTACTGGAATAACCAACACTATCTCACTGACCTGCAACAAGGACGGTAGATGTTGTGGTATACGCCTTATTTGAGAAGATCATCGGATACAGTAACGCACGATTTATGTGTACTTCAACAGTGGTCATGGGGTTCGAATTAAGGCAGCTAAAAATTTCTTAGATATGATTTCAAATTCATCAACATATTTGAAAGCTCAGAGGTTTGTGAGTCCATTGTGTCCCCAATTGAAAATTACCTTGATATGGCAGTTCTGAGGTTTGTTAATCAAACGTGTCTTCAAATTTGTCAACTACTTATTCGACAGTTCAGAGGTTTGCGAGTCAAAGCTATCAAAATTACCTAGATATGGCAAATCAGAGGGTTTTTAATCAAACGAGTCTTCTTTGTCAACGACACATTTGACTGCTCAGAGGTTTGTTAATCAAACGTGTCTCCAATCGAAATTATCTAGGCATGGCAGCTCTGAGGTTTGGTATTCAGACATGTCTCAAAAGCAACCAAAATTATCTAGATATAGCAGCTCAGAGGTTCGTTATTGTAATCAGAATGGTCTCCAAGCAACTTCACCTGTTACAACAGGGTTATTTGAACACCGACCAACAATTTGGCACAGCAGGTATTCATAGAATCCGGCCAACCTTTCAACCGCTAACACTGCCCTGAATTTCATCGAGCCTCGGAAATAATGAGTTCGAGAGAACCCCTCTGGATACATTTCCAGGATGTCTGCGCGATCATCTTGAGTCAATTCCATTGCCCATAAACGCATTTGAGATGGAACGGCTACTGTTGTACATAGTGACATCATCTGTCTTGGGTGATTCATATCGATGATTTTCTAATATCTCCACACTGAGAGAAAACTTGAGTTATCATAATTGGAAATCTGATAACCGTTATTACGATATCTGCAATAAATAGGGGACAGATGTGTTCATTTGCTACCATAGATAAAGTAAATTTTCAGGTGACTTGTAGTTATGGCAGCTTATTCAATTTGCAAACTTGTATAAAAAAACCGCTGCTGAATAACTACTACTTGTTCTAATTTCTATGATAACACAGAATGTCGAATAGGAATTATTCCCATAAAATGTTGCAGTAACTCTCCACTCTACAGTGGTTATTAGACTATCGACATAAAACAGCATGTTTTTATTACTGGCACAACCATCTTGGGGTAACGCAGTAATTCGTCTCATTTTATTATAGTTATCTGATATCTGCATGAAACCTGACATTTTGACATGCTATTGTAATGAAGCTCATTTTCAACAGTTATCCCAATATTTTTCTACTCTAGTATATTCATCAAACAGTGGTAATAAGGTTATCTAGTCAACATTATTCGATGGTATGTATTATGAAACCGTTCTTTGAATTACTGCAATGAAAATAAATATCCTATCTACACTATCACTTTTCATGATCCAAAGTTATTGTTTTCAAAAAAACAAAAAAATACGTTTAGTCTCTGAATTGAAATATTTGGGTATCTGTGGAAGTTTTTTGACATAACTCATTGTTTTTTTCGGAGAAATATCATCTATATGCATTACTGACGAATTTATTAAGAAATGAGAAGTTAAATACTTATATTTACCCTTCCTTCGGAGTTATGATGAGAATTGTCAATTAAACTTCCCTCACAGAAACACAGATATTTTGGTTCAGAATCTCATCGATCATTTTGTTTTTGCAATAAACCAATTTTGGCCGTGAAAAGTGGGTATGGAGAATACTTTTGTAAGAGGTCTTTATTCTGAGGCCCTTACTTTGACACTTGTTGAACAGGCTCCTGGGACCTGTCGGGGTTTCTCGAGCGCCAGATTTTTGATAGAGGTGATTTACTTCACCTGCTCCTCCCAACTGAGTCGGAAAGGAGACCCAAGGTAGCAACAGTGAAGAAAGACATCCACTGGAGGTCTGCAGTAAACCAGGGGTCAATGCTATTGAATTGACCTGGGTGCAGGGGGCCAAGAGAGCATAGGCTTTAATTATACACTCTTGGGGATTCCTGGAATACTGGTTGCTCTGAATAGATGTTTGAGTCGTCACTTCTTGTGACTTGAGTACTACAACTCTTATTACCGTTAGTTTTCTGGAATTTGACTTTGTTCTATACCTTTGTTGTCAGGATAGGGAAATCAGAATCACATAAACAGGTCAAGTATAGGTGTATTCAACTTCTTTCGTTCATCAGGTTACAGGCAATAATTAAAGGAAGCAAAATCTATTATACGAACAGGTTGAGGTTATGATGTTATTACAGTTATTAAATTGACCTTCACACTGAAAATTATGACATTCGAGTACAATAGCCATGCGTGTCTAGTACGTTCGGGGCAAGCAAAGGTGTAGGTGCAGGTGCAAGCAAAGCAGGGACAATGAACCACCGAATACGACCAGGAAAGTTGCAAGCGAGGGTTTATTCAGGAAAGTGAGTTTGGTATCGACAGGAATACAGGGATGAAATAGTTCAGTTAAATCGTTAACGCGGAATAGACTGGTGAAAAGTACTCCTTCAGGGTGTAGCTCTAACACTGGCTCATAGCAGTATTCGGAAGCCGTCTGCAGGTTGACTTGCGAATCCTACTTTTCTCAAACAAAAGGAGACGGGCCCTGGATCCACACAGGCGGGCTTTCAATCTCGAAACAATCGGAGTAGGGTGTCCCTAAGCTCGTGGCGAGATCCACCCAAAGGTTGAGCCGCAGAGCAAAACTTAGGAGACACTACTATTTTCGATACAACAGCTAC